AAATCAAACAACTGATTAAACTATTTTTGAACAAAATGATAATTAAGAACTTCAGGCTTCTTCATCAACAGTGATTCTGAAACCCAAGAACTGACGACACACCTTTAAGAACTCTTTCCGGTTGTGTTTTAGGACTCTCTGGAAAACATTATATTGATATTTTTGACAATTAAAGAAAGATCAAGATGCAAAGCCGTTCTGGATGATGAACATTATCATCAGGTGCTAAAAGCAAGCAAAAGTCTGGAGGTGCTGATTTTGAATTCTAAACGCCGTCTCTGAAGGAAGAAGCTGCAGCTTATTGCTCCTAACTAGTCTTCTCTGAGGACGAGAACAACAAAGCTCTGCGTGTTTCCTCCTCCAGTCTGACAGGGCCTCACAATCAGCTGACAGTCGCTACAGGAAGCTTCATCCCTCCTCTACCTCGCCGGAACACACTTGTTGCTGCCTAGTGGACTCCAGACGCACAAACACTGACAGGAGGAGATAATGCTTCCGACTCAGAGCACTGCATCTCTGTTGATGAGGGCTGACAGAAGAACAGGCACGCGCACACGCACTCACTCTTACACACACACACACACACACACACACACACACACACACACACACACACACACACACACAAACACACTTTAGCATATGGAGGCGGCATTGGTAGTTTCCGTCACAGGAACACACACATTAGCGCTGTGCCGTTCTCAAACATCTCCCCTAAACTAGTCATTGTTTTGAAAGCTGTTGTGGACAGATTGATGAAGCGTAACACAAGACTAACTCAATTAAACTGTTTGTGTTTGGTCGTCATGGCAACAAGTGCAGCAAGTTATTTGCAGTGTGAGTAATACCCTTATCTTTCCAACAGTGGGAGTCATCAAACAACAAACTAATTAACTGTAGTGTCACCTTCTGATGCACTTCTCTCCTCTCTACATACTTTGGATTGTTGAGGTTTATTCTCAGCAGAGTCCGACTGAGGCGGCACGCTGCAGCTCCAACATGGGTCATTTAGACATTTATACATGAAATTTGTTTGCTGCTGCTGAACTTTAAGTACAATTTATTTTTCTCCCAAACTCCATAAAGCCAGAGGGGACTATGACACGATAATTACTAATTATGCTAATGCACCCAAGCTGTGCTGTTCCTTTTCCTTGGTCATTTTATCTGCTGCCCTCAAGAGACCACAGTCAGTGGCAATACCCCCCCCCCCCCCCCCCCCCAGCTAAATGCTCGGTCATTTAGAGGACACCGTGTCCTAAACCGCCAACCTCTCCACAGCTACCCTTAATCAGGAAGTGCCTGTAAATTCACAAAGCCATGTGAGCACACACAGCAGAGCGCCATGCCCGTTTCTGCCTGCACGACCTTCATTAACCTCATAAATGCCAGCGGTGTTCCTGTCGCAGCTCTTAATGCCATTATCAGCATCAACGCAAACAAATGTGACAGAACCGTTTCAGGCTGAAACTGGAGCTTTGCATCTGCAGAATACATCTCCCCTTGGTCTGCTTTCATGACTGTGACATTGGGAAGTCCCAACATAGAAACCAGCACCACGTCTGGCTTTTTACTGGTGCCGTCATTAGTTGGGCTTCACATCACACACACTTGTGTTCAAAAATCATTTTTATTGCTCTCAGTTTTAAACCCTGTTGCAAGTTTAGCATTTGCTTTTTAAAACCTTTTAAACACATTCATGTTTAATTTGAAAAAAAGACAGCGGGAAGGCAGAAAGGGACAATGACATTCAACACACCTGCATGCAGCTGGAGTCGAACTAGGGCCATTTCCTGCAAAATGGACTTAAAAAAATATACATCTGTGTGAAAATCACACTACTGTCAAAAGCTATTTATGCATCATTTGCATGCCGTAGTGTGTTTATTTAGCATGAGTCAACAGGAAAGCTGTTTCTTCTGTTTCTTATGATAAAAGCATAAATACTTCAGATGGATTTACACAATCAGAAGAACTGTATGAATAAATAATAATGTGTTGCATCAGTTTATATTTAACACATAAAATACATATAGTACTTTTACAGTGATGATATTTTCACAGACTTTTTTATTTTATTGTGGTCTAAAAACTTTTCTAAACAATTATTATTATTATTATTATTATTATTATTATTATAAAGTTGTAAACATTTCAGCTTTTTTCAATATTTATGTTTACATGTTTGAAACCTTACATTTATTGCACGCATCAATAAGGCTAAACCGTGTTGTGTTTAATGAGTGGAGGATAAATTAAACAAAAATGCATTAATAATCATTAACTAAATAACAATTCAGACCTGTTTTGCTTTAATCGACACTGAAAGCCACTGAGGGGACCTAATAAATCTATAACTGCTTACTAGCTTGACCTTTGACCTCTACGCTCACCTCGACACCACCTCCATCACTGCCATTGGCGCTAAAAGGGGAGCGGATAGAGCTGAGCAGCCTGTCGTTTATGCTACCTCTCGCCTTCTGGACCTGATGCAGCAAGAGCGAGTCAGAATCAGGCCTGTGACGGACCCCGTCCCCCATGGTCACCTGCACCCCGTTCCTCTGCTGCTGCCTCCATAAACAAGGGCGTAAACAGTGATTGCCACATAAATTAGGTTTCACTCACGGTGTTTTCCACATTTCCCCCTCGGCGCTCCTGATGCGGTGCCGATACACGCTACTGGGAGTACGTGATGATGAGTGTGGCTATAAAAGAAAAATCTTGTTGCTCTTTACATTTCAGAAAAAGCACATGTGGATAACGGAGACAGAACGTGTGCCACAAAGATCACGCTGCTGATTGACTGACATGAATTCAGCGTATATTTTTGTCCTTAAAAAACCTGGACCATGTCCCAGCCTCTGTCCCTCTGGGGACCAAACCACCGATCACAAAGCTGTGATTAACCAAAAGCACGGCTCGCCTGAGAGTCTAACGCTGCTTCTAGGAGACGCGATGCAAAGTCAGGGGGCGAACACCCAAAAACCAAAGCTGATGGATTCAATGAGTCTGGGATTTCTGGGAATTCGGGGCAGGAACGACTGCCAACAGATGAGAAACAAACAAATCTCAGGTCTGTAATCTTCACTCTGGACTTATTTGTTTTGTCCGTTTTAAAAAAACGAATGAAAAATAAAGGAGTTTGGTGGAAAAGCTGTAGGACAGACAAACCTTTAGAACACTCGCAGGTTTTAGTGACTCCATCTATAAACAATCTGCAGCCTTTTCAAGGGATTAAGCCTCAAATGCCACGCGATAATCCCTCTGTGATTTTCATGCCTCGAGATTTAGAAAATAAATAATAATTGAGCAGAAAAAAGACGACAATCATTTGGCATTTAAGATGAAGAGCAGTGATGAAGAAAACTTAGTCCAGCTTACGGATAATCTGAGGTCAAATTAGAAGTAGGAAGGATAAAAAAAGTCTTTCTTTGATGTGTTAAGAGAATCCCAGAGGGAGAGAGCGGGCTCTGGCAGCCCTCCCGAACACACAGCTCGTCTGCAGCCGGCCCCTGAGCTGGCCCCTAATGTCCCGTGTTATCAGAGTGAATCAGCAGGGCTGATAAATTAGCCTCTCACAAAAACACACTCCGAAGGCCCGTCAGCTAATGTGCGATACTCATATGCAATGCTTAATGTTGTGGAACCAATTCTGTCGTTTCCATTATGTAAATACATTTGCCTCTGCGCTATATTTTATGTATTGTCTCCCTTGTCTCAATTACTTGGGCTATTAAAAATCAAGAGGTTATGGAAATGAAGCACGGTTTGTCTGCTTGTGGTTTGATGACAAGAGCCAAGTGTTTATGAAGGCTGGTTATGCATTCAGTTACAGACGTCAACGCGCTCGTCCACGCTCCACGGTGTGATGGGATGGCACGGCGGCATCATGGAGCCTCAGCGGCACTGGGGTCATCACCTAACTTAATAAAACTACACCTGTTGGTGCTCCTTTACTAACAACGGGGGTGGACTTTAATGGCTGTAATAATTAATTTTAAATTTTGTACAAATACTGACAATAAGCCTGAGTTTAACACAAAGAAAATGGTTACAACGCCTCCTAACCTGAGGGTTGGTGAGATGAGAAGTTTTCATTTATTTTTGTTATTTTATTTATTCCAGTATTATTTCACTGGTAAAGATGCAGGGCACTAAACCACACCACCAGTATCCACCACAGATCCAGTCAGCAGAAATCAGCGTTCATGATGACTGTTTTACAGTTTGCTTAGTTTGGTAAATTATTTATTTATGTCTTCTGAAAGGATGAAAACTATTTAAATTTTAGACAAAAGGAAATGAAGACTTTTTCTGTTTTAGGCCCAGATGTTTGCTCAGCTGGACTCTGTGGAGGTTAGAATCAGATCTCTGAGTTCAGACAATAAACATAAAACCAAATAAAACCTCATTAGAAACTCTAAAAGGAGGAACCCATTAAGGGTTTATAGGATTAACCCTGGATGGAGTGGTGCATTCACATGTCAGCGTTTTCATTCCGATGAGTGCAGTTTTATTATCTTTATTATTAAAATATAGAAAATCTGAGCTGAAAGGAAAATGTTGGTTAAATAAAGTGAAACGGGGTTTATCGGATATCAGATATAATAAAACCTGTAAAATAAAGACTTTATAAAAATAAATGCATAAAAAAGAAAAAAAGCAGGAGTGTGTTTCAGGTTCAAATTAGCCTTTTGATGTTAAAAACTCCGCAGAAACTAAACTTTATGGACCAGACACCATGCGTGCTTGTCAGCCGCCGCCGCCGCGGTTTGTTATGTTCCCTTCTAACCTGAAACATGCCTCCGGATGTGAAGGACCTGATGATAGGTCCTAGGAGCGCCGCGGAGAGCCGCGGGGCTGATCGAGACGCGCGAAACGGCCGCGGCTTCCGTGCGCTCCGGTTCCGCCCGCCGTTTCCGCGGCCGTGCGCTCCGGTACCCACCCCGGTTTGAATCTGAAAATGAGAGTCTAGAGAGGAGCAGAGGGTCGTAAAGTACCTTTTCTCTTGGATCGCCTCCTCCTCCGCTTCAGCTTGCACCTGACCTGGCCGCTCGGAGCGCCCGACGCGCGGCTGCAGTTTCCCAGTACGGATGCCATCGGCGCAGTCTGCGGAGAACTTGGACTCCGATCAGCGCTCCTTCAGCCCGTGCCCGTGTCTCTGACAGCGCTGCGTCTTCTGCTCGGCTCCGGTGCGTTATATCTCTTCTCCGTGCCTTGTTGTTATCGCCCCTCCGAACCGAACCGGGAGGGTCTCTCCGCGCTTCTGTTGCGACTCAGAAAGTCCAGCTCGCCTCCAGCTCACGGAGAGATGGTGCTTGTGTTCGCAGCGCAGCTTGGCAGCTGTGTGAGACCTCTCCACCCAGCCACAGATCTGGGCATCAGCCACTTTGGACTCAATCACGCGGGACGCCTATCTATTTGCTGCCGAGGTTTCTAATTAGGGTCCAATGGCGTCTGTTTGGGAGGTGTGACATCAGCGGCGACACCCACCAGCTCTCACCCCTGCCTCACCCGGATTCGCGCACTTTTTCTGCAATTTTCTTAAAACCAGAGAAGGCTGTCTCGATTCTGCCCACTACCGAAGGGTCAAGGGTCAACACGAGAAAACTAGATACTTTCCTTGGAGTCTCATGTTTGTTAGCTGGGTTTTATGCAAGGTCTTTGGATTTTCCAGCTGGACTAAAAGTCCAAAGTGAATATTCTTCATTTTATCAAAGTCAAAGGAAAAATTACTGCAAATGCAACAAACCTACAGCTTTTCAAAGCTCTCCAAACACATCTTCACTTAGAACCTCTTATCTGAGTTTTTGGCTTTCAGGATCCATAAAAAAACTTAAAATAAAAACTGTTGTGGTCACAAAGTTTGAAGATTGTGACATTTTGGCATTTTTGTGCGAAAGCCTGGTGTCAAGGCTTTCAGAAAGCATTTGTGTTTCTCCTTGCTGCGGGTTATTGTTCTGGTCCACCGGCCTCTGCAGCAGAAGGTCAGGCGTGTTTAGTGGGGAGGTGCCGCTGGACGTGTTCAGGTGCTCTCGCTGTGAAAACATGCAGATTCTGTGGTTGCAGAGTTAAAGAAACAAGCAGGACATCTAAAAGATGGCAAAAAACTGTTGTTGCCTTTAAATGCCTTTCCTAGATAAACACATTTCCAGCTGCTTTAAATTTGCATAATAAAAAATAAAAAGCCATGCATTTTGCTGAAAAATAACAAAACAAATCAGTACATCGTGTTTGTTGATGTGAGATGGAAAAGTCACTTTGAAGCTCTGCTCTGGATGGAAATGTTTCCTCTGAGCCCGCAGGGGCAGCAGAGACGGAGAGGGTGGCTGGGCGGTCATCCAGGCAGCATTCTGCCCTCAGGACACCCACAAATATCCATGTAAATTGCAGTTTAAGAGAAATCAATATATGTGACAAGTTGCCAATGCTGCTACCTGGGCTGTAATGAAGGTGTGCTGGCAGGGTGGGGGTGCATTGGGGGGGTGGGGGTGTTCCGATAACATCAAAAGGCCAAGTTGGGTTGGATGTTGCCATGAAATCCCACTGACTCACGGAATTATTCTTCACGTTTATTATCAGACCCTTGGAGTAACGCGTTAGCTGTAGCCAACACTCACGACTCTTCTTTTCACTCTCTCCCTACACAAATCCCCCCCCCCCCCCCAGTACCTCCGTCTGGCTAGGAATGGAATTACATGTATATATCATCTCATCACAGATGTGCAGAAAAACACACATGTAGCACAAGGTCAGTGGGGGTGTCAGATTCCACTAAACCTGCTTTATTCTCTCTGTCACCAGCTCACATATACCTTTTCCTTAGGCCAAGCCATACGTTTGGAGCTGCACACCTTCTGTAGACAGACGTCCTCGTTCTGTTCTTAGTTAAACACGTTCTCTGTTCCTGAAACTCCTGAAGTGTCTCTACAAGGTAAAACAAAGAGCGGTGACCTCTCTAGGTGATGTCTCCATGGAAAAATTAATACAGGATGTAAAACGAAAATATGATAAAGCTGGAAACAGCACAGCAAAAGTGTAAGGACATCTCTGTTCTTCCTAATTGTGATCTAACCTTAAATATTCATATGCAGATAAAACAGCTGTGTCAGAAAGAACTTTTCACTGTAGTGTCAGACTAATAGCTACAATTTTGTTAATAAACACAGCAAAATGAAATGAAAATAAAATTTGAACAGTTTTTTTGGGTGAAAAGTTCAAGACAAAGTTATAAAACTGACCTGAAATTGCTATGAAGGTAAAAATTAATTATTAAGTAATTTAAACTAATTCTGATCACAACAGAAAGCCAAAATTTGGTTTTAAATGATAAAAACAAGTCTCTTTGAAACACACTATATTTAAAGATATAACTTGTTATTTTCTGTTGCAGTTCAAGTATAGATGTGCTTAACTAGTTTCTCTAACTTTAATGCCTAAATGTAACCAAACAGAGAATGAGAGATATTCAGTATAACACATTTTGTATTAGTCAGGGAACAAGCTTTAATAATAAATACTGGCTGGTGCTGAGAGTGTGAAAACTACCAAGCTACCCAGATGTGGACACTATACAATACCTGGGCGGGACCATACCAGCCCTGATGTGAAAGCAGCATTAGACTGAAGTGGCATGGACCATATGCAGATGGCATAGTGGTCTGCAGTGAGAGCAGGGTGGAGATAGAAGAGAAGCTAGAGGTGGAGGTATGTGCTGGAAAGAGAGGGATGAAGATAGAATCCATGTGTGTAAATGAGAAAGACACAAGTAGAACAGTGAGCGAGTAGAAGTAAAGATTTTACAGTCACTGGCCATTTTTTTCAAACTTTTCTCTACTAACCTCCTCCTTTCCACCTTTCATTCTTTCTGCAATCCTCTTCAGTAGTGCCCCCACAACCATCTATTGTGATTGCCAGACTCTTTTATCCTTCTGTTTGTCCATGACTACCCAAGACGCGTTGAGAATTCACATTCCTATCTGCTCATGTGCACAGCGTGCTGGCCTTGAACCAAACATTGACCAAGCACCTCCAGCGTTGTTTAGCTGATCCCAGGGAAATGTCGGAGGACAAGGGGTAAACGAGCAGGAATCCAGGTGAACATAAGGCTTCTCTTCAATCATGGTTTAGCTAGTAAATGATCAGCGTGATCTTTTACTTTCACCTTCTTTGTTTGCAGACATGATCTCCACTTTTGCATTACCACCAAGCGTGTGTGGCGTGGTTTCTCTGTCCAAGTCTTCTAAGGGCTGTTTATCCTTATTCTTCAGTGGTTTCTCCTCCTGTTCCCTCCATAAGTGTTTTTTACAAACACCATGGATCTACCCCTGCTAACTTACATCCACTAACTGCAGCTGTTTCTGTAGTTTCTGATTACTCCGCCTCACTCAGCATGGCTCTATTAGATACCTGCTCCATTAACAATAAGTCCTTGCTGCTCAATGATCTAACTCTCTCAAACCTGGATTTTCTGTTTCTGACTGAAGTCTGGCAACAAACCTCTGATTAATCTGGTCTGATTGAACTCTGCCCGAGAGTTCTGGTTGTGGTGACGGTCTAGCTATTGTTTTTAAAGACCATCTTCCATGTAGCTCTACAACCTCTGGTCACTTTGCTTCCTTTGAACTGCAGCTGATTAAAGTCGAGCGTGAGGACCCTTCTACTGCACTGTGGTTTATCGTCCACCTGGTCCAAACAATTCTTTCCTTGGGGAGTTAAGTAATGTTTTTTCACCACTGTGACCAGTCCAAACTGGTTGGTGATTTTAACATTCACATTGATGATGCCTCAGACCACTTTGCCATGCACTTCTCCAGCCTCATGGACTCCTTCAGCTTTACCCAGCATGATTCTGGCCCCACACACACACACCAGGGGAAACACTCTAGACCCTGAGTCTAAATTCTGATGGAGCTTGTCCTGAGGATGTTTATACTTCAGATCACCATTGCGTTTTCTTTAACTTGTCAGTTTCTGCATCCCCTCCTCCGGCTCGCCATCTGGTTAGTTCTCGTTTTCTTAATGAGCACACAGCTAGCAAATGTTCTGCTGCTTTGATACACACTGTTCTTCTGAAAACGACCCAGATTCCTTAACTTCTCAGTTTAACGAGCACTGCCTCTCCATTCCGGACAACATCTGTCCTGTTAGAGCCAGATCAGTCCCTGCAGTGAACCCTAATCCTTGTTTTAACAACAGCATTCACAGCCTGAAGCGCCAATGCAGAAAAACTTAGAGCTTGTGGAGGAAAACCCATCTCCACATCCATCTGCTGCATCTAAAGGATCGTCTGACATCCTTTAACTACGCAGTCAGAGATGCAAGGGTTGCCTATTTCTCCAACCTGGTGTCCTAGAGCAAAGGGAATCCCAAGGTGTTATTTAACACCATCAGCAGTATTGCCTCTCCTGCCTCTCCTACAGCCTCCATCCACTCTGTTGCAGACTGTGAAAACGTTCTATCTTCCTTTGTGGACAAAGTCAATAAGGTTAGATCTAGCGTCTCTCCCTCAGCCTTATCTCTGCCTCTCTCGACTCCAACCCGGCCCATCATCCTCGACAGCTTAGCTCCTGTTTCTTTGTTAGAGCTAACCATCTAGTCAACTCTATAAAGACCTCTGCATGCCCCCTTGACATATCCCCCCGTACTGTCTGGCTGTGAAGCAAACTGAATTGATGTCTGAATGCTGTTGACAAGCCTTACAGATTTACTCTCAGGTGGAGCATCAAAGCATCTGCTTTTTATGTCACGCCTGATACTTAAAACTTTATTTTTGTTTTTTAATGTTTTTTAATTCCGACCAGACTCAGAGACAAAGGTGAAAGAGAAAGGAAGAGACAAAAGGTGGTGGTGGTGGTGGTGTGTGTGTGTGTGTGTGTGTGTGTGTGTGGGGGGGGGGGGGGGGGGGGGGGGGGGGGGGGGGTTCCACAAAAATAAACATTAGTTTATAGATTAGTTCTGATGGGAGTAAAGGTGATGTCTTTGTGCTAAGTTTTGATTTGGAGATCCATAACACACATTGAGACGCCATTCTGTCGGCCTACGTACCCTTTCGGAAGTCCCCTTTTGATCAGGAATGTCGAGGTCCAGCTTGACACTCTCTGGAACCGAAGCCGGTAGGAAAAGCAGCAGTTGCCGACTCAAACCAGTCTTGAGATACTTCCGGGTCACAACAGTTTACTGGCATCTAGCAAGACCCAAAACGGGATCGTGATGGTTCAGCTTTTATTCTGAAAGGAACCGTTGCAGCAGTTGGAACAGCAACAGATTTTATCCAGCTTGTCGTTGGCTATTTTGGCTGAAGAGGAAAGTTACGGATTGGCCACTCCGACAACTTCTCTAGAAAGCTTTGAACTGAAGTTAAAGATGACGTGGGCATAGTTTTATAGCTCGGATGT